CATGTACCCAAACAAGACGAATAGCTGGAGTGCGTATTCATGTGGAGAGGGCTATACAACGCATGAAAAACTTTCGTATTCTCCATGGTGTCTTGCCAATCACACTTGCTCCTGTAGCAAATCAAACCGTATTTGTTTGTGCAGCTTTGTGTAACTTACCACTGGTTAAGAAGTAAAATTGTTTTTATATTACTTTAATATGGGAAGTTAGAACATCATGGCTAGAACACTATAAACACAGTGTCATTATCAGCTAGAGTGAGCACACTTAATCCATGAAAAATCAAAGTGACAGCAAATTAATACAAAGGGACAAGTCCATAATATAATAATTATTAGAGAATAATTGCTTTCATGGTTTAAGTGTGCTCACTCTAAAGTGTCTAGAATATAGAGAACAAACAGCATATCTCAGTTCATATCTCACACTATTTCATCAAAATGTTTGTGGTCTAGCATGAAACAATGAACATTATATAGAAGTCAAATTGTTATTTATTTTTCTAATGTTAAACGGGTTGTGTTGCTTGTAAACATTATGTGGCTGCATTAGTTAAATCATTGGAATTACCATAAACAACAGTTAAATGGTAAAATTATCATAGTATAAATTTAAAGAACTTCTGTATCTTTAAAGACTTGTATCCTTTGCTTRCCATCTCTAATATTTATTCATGGGTTTCCCAGTATTCTTCACTTGGTAAGACTGTTCGGTCAAGTCCAAAYTTAACTMTTGGGTATGCTAKTTCTGGTAGTACAACATAATCGAAAAAGTATTTTAGCTTACTGGAGATTGAAGCCCATGCATCTTGACAGAATAGAACTGTTTCTTTGAAAATACTTCCATTTGTACCACAAGCAACAAAAATACCCCAATGGTACCCAGTCACAAACATTTGATGTTGAATTTGATAGAAATATTTATGGTTGTTATTTAACTTCATACCACTAGGTGTGTTTAAACATATGTATTGCCTTMTTAAAACATCTGATAAAGTGTCATTGTCCTTGACTTGGAGATACTTCATTTCTACAACACCAGGTGTTGATTGATTTGGGAGATGGATAATTTTWTCAGGWGTTGCACCTAAAAATCCACATGATTTGCTTATGAAAAACCCAGTCTTGCAATTTTACATCAGTGTGACCCTCTTCTTTTAATTTACTTACAAGCTCTTCTGCTATAATAGGTTCTTTTTCTAGTCCTTCCCTCATTGCTGAAGTGAGAGGTACTTATATCCCAAAACCTCTTTGAGAGCATTAACTGGTGACGTGATTCTCTTAAGACTGCAAATTCGTTTGCACTTAGAAGCAGAAATTCTTCCCTTTTTGTATTTAAACCATTCGCTTGACTTTGACTGTAATTTAGTTTTCTTCTCAACATGATGGATCTCCTCAGTAAAATGTAGCTTTCTCTTGATTGCAGANTTGGCAAACTATCGTTGTCGTTGAGTTTCAGTTTCTTTGAGATTAGTTCTGTTACAGTTTCAGTGTCTAGAACTGGATCTAAGTTGATTTCAATTGCTTTTTTCACAAGCTCTAAAAGCTCGGGTTTGTTTTTCTTTGATACGGTAATCCCTCGTTGCTGCAAAAACTCTTTTAACTCGCAAACTTTCCATTTCTCTACCGCCATAGCAGTCGCCATGTTGATTTTCACCCACATTGGTCTCGATTCCATGTTATTTCGTTACCAGTTCCCCTTTGCGCACAGGTAACCCGGAGAACACGAATAAAGACTATTACAAACAGGAAATAATTTATAACCAATCATAATCCATCAGTGTTAAATAAATGCTCAGCAATGTCTGAATGTAAGACTTGATCATTCACTTTCTAAGTCCTGAGTTTCATCAGAATCTTCACCTTCATATTGTACTATATCCTTCAGTCTCTTAATATCTTGCAATTGCCTTTCCTTCAAAGGCATGCTGTCATCCATTGTATCCATTAATGTATCACTTTCATCAAAACTGGAAATGGACTTGTCTTCGGCACTTTCAGTACTTGTATTTGCATCTTCTTGTATATCTCTTGTGATGTCTTTTAGCAACTTGATGTCATCTCTTTTAAGGGCAATGAAATTCCCTCCTTTGGCTATTTTCACATAGTCTTGCTCAATGAACTGAATAGCCATTTTTTCAGCTAGATCGTACTTCCCTTTTCCTCTTGCTTTCACCCCAAGGACCTTTGCTGTCTTCACCAAGGTATTGTATGACAAGCTTCTAAAAGTTATCCTTTTAAAAGCTACTGTTACTACTGCTTGAGCACTGTATGGTGTGATATTTGTTCTATCAGAGGAAAATTCTTCAGAAATCGGTTTTTCTACATCAGTATCCAAATCTGAAACAAATAAAAGTGGACAATAATTTACTTTCTTTAATTTTGATTTTAATCAATTRATTAATTAATTGACTTAAAAGTCAATTCCACTTTCTTCTTCAGCATCTGTGCCTGTCCCATAGTGAAATTAGATTTTTACCACAAACTTTGATTTTGTCACCCGCTGATTGGTAMGCATATGGTCATAATAAGTTATAAATTCACTCGGCTATGCCTCATGGGTGTATAACGTTTTGATGCATGTTGTGTTACTTAAAATTTTGGCAATAGACCTTTTTTACATTATGGCAGCCATTTTGAATCCTATTGTTCTAAGAATGTATTATGGGATGCCCAAGGGGCAAATTAACATGTATTTGCCCACTGGGCATCTCATAATATATTCTTAGAACAATAGAATTCAAGATGGCCGCCATAACGTTAGAAAGGTATATTTAGAGTCCATGCAATGGTTATCCATCATAAATTAGTTATCAATACTTCATTTTACCTGTACACAGCTGGGTACTAGATTGAGTTCTTGAGAGCTTAGTTGTGTAAAGAAGATAAGTTTAACACCGTAAAAAAGTATGGGAAATAACTTACTAAAAGAGCTTAGCCCTTTTTGCTGGTGTATGCTTAGTCTGTGATATTAAAAATGATTATCATGCATTAATAAAATCAGGCAAGCAAAGAAACAATGTATGTGTCAACCTCGTTCCCAGGCATTGGCTGGTCACATGACACCCAGAAATTTCGGGTGCATCAACAATACAGAGGAAATGAAGCATGAAGCTAGCCCATTAAAACCTTAATTAGACCAGCCAACACGGGCCTTATCTCCTTTGAGCCTTTGTGTAAAAGGCCCTGGGGACAAGGTTGTGCATGTGTTTGTTGAATATGCTTAATTCTTACAATGGGCATTTGCCATAGGGAAATGCCTTTACAATAATACTTACTTCATAATCATAGCCATTTGTTAATCTTCTGTATTTTTCTTGTGTCCATTGGAGGATGTGTGACCGTATGGCCTCTTAAGAAAGTAGGTTAGATA